ACAAAAACCACCAGGAATACATAAGTAGTTGAACGGGTTGGGACCCCTGGGTGCATCTCAGTAAGAGGGTTTTAGTCTTGTGTTAGGTGATTTGGGGGATTTAAAGAAGCAGGGCTTCTCCGGATAGGATGCTGTCTGGAAGGAGGGAGTGATTCTAGGATTGGATAGCTTAATAAATCCTACCCTGAAGGAAGGAAGACCAAAGCAATGCTAAAACTAGGGTTGGTCAAGAAGCTGTCATCATTCTTACTGGACAAGATGAGGAGACGCTGGGTCACTTTTGTGGCTTAACACTATTTGTGTGTCTGGTTCTGTTTTGTGTGTGTTTCACGTTTGTGTTTGTGTTCAGACGGGAAAGCAGTGTGATCTTACTTTCATTTTGATCCATCAATGGTCATTGAAAGGCCTGGTCTGACATCTGTGTTCTGTGAAATTGTTTATGTTCAACAAAAGAACATCAAGGCCTAGCTGAGAATACCAGGGCAGATCCCACGTGGTGGGGGCTGCTTTTATCTGTGTCAATTTTGTATTTTACTAATTTAATTGAATATTATATCATCAGCACGTTTTTTCAGGCACTTCTCAAATGTCATTTTAGTGGCTTTCTAATGTTCCATCATTTAGATGAAGTCGGAATCAAGGGAATATTTCCCCTTGTTGGACATCTATGTTATTTCTGCTATGTTACTGTTATCCATTTTTTAAATACCGTAATTGGTTTTGTGCATGGAACGTTTTTCTGTAGTTAGGATTGATTCCGTAGGACAATGTTTTGCAAAATGAATTACGGGTAGAGTGTTTTCAAGCTCCAGATGAGCTGAGACACCTGTTTGTTAGTGCTACGGTTGCAAGAAGAAAGAACGTCTTGTGAGAATATGAAGAAGGAAATATTATGCCTGTCACCCCAGAGGAAGCCAGAAGCCAGTGACATTTAACTGCAAATGAGAGTTTTACAGACAAGGGCTTGAGGAAACATTTCCCTTGTAATCTGAACATTTGACGGATCTCCTTGTTTGTGTCCCCACAACGGCACTTCTGTTCCCAGCATTGCGGACCCCAAATCTAAGTTTACAGCCATTAAAAGGAAGTTGGCTCAACGCCCTCCCCTAGGAACCGCATGATTTCTAAGCCCAAAATCAACCCTATTTAGAATATGGCTCAACTTTGCCTGGTACTTACGTGTTTCTACCTGTCCTTTCAGCTTTGTGCGTGACAGAAAGTCGCTGGGTCCGGCTCTTCGGAAAGTTCGTTCTCTGGGATGGTGTCCTTGGGGCCGGGGGCCAGGGGCCGGGGGCTGGGGGTCAGGGGCCTAGGAACCCAGTTGAATGCCATCTAATGAGTCCCAGCTCCGCATTCAGCTGTGAAAGTAACGCAGGTGAGTGCCCTTGGAACCTGCTCCTCTCCCACCTGCTTTGGCCAGTCAGAGGCTGCCCAAGGCGCCACTCAGTTCCAGCCTGCCTTTCTGCGGTTCCCCAGACTTAGACGTGAACCCACACATCCTGGAGGATCCGTGCCTGGAGAATGGACTAAGGTCAAGGAAACTCGAATCTCACCATCCTCGACTGGTTCTTGATTTACTAGGGGTGCATTCTTTAATCCAAGAACCCTTGGATAAGCCATGAAATTCTTTCTTTCTTTTTTTTTTTTTTTAAAGATTTTTATTTATTTATTTGACAGAGATAGAGAGCACAAGTAGGCAGAGAGGCAGGCAGAGGGAGAGGGAGAAGCAGACTCTCCACTGAGCAGGGAGCCTGAAGCGGGGCTCGATCCCAGGACCCTGGGATCATGACCTGAGCCGAAGGCAGACGCTTAACCGACTGAGCCACCCAGGCGCCCCACCATGAAATTCTTTCTTACAAAACTAAATGTGTGCAGATGCTCCACACACCAGGCACCTGTCACATCTCACCTTAGCCCACGTGGCCATCGGCTTGCCTACCCCGCACTTTCACTAAGAGTTAACATTCTGGGGGCGCCTGGGTGGCTCAGTCGCTTAAGCCTCCAACTCTTGATTTTGGCTTATGATCTCGGGGTTTTGAGGTCATGATCTCAGGATTGTGGGATTGAGCCCTGCCCGGGGCTCACTGGGCATGAAGCCTGCTTAAGATTCTCTCTCCATCTCCCTCTTCAACCCCAGCCTCCCCCCCCAAAAGAGCTAACATTCTGTGGAAGGAGCCTGTAGGGTGGTTAAAAGATTTGAAATTCCTTGGGGTTTGCCTGCAGAGGTTCCAACCCCGCTGACTGGTTGTTAAAGGGTAAGCCAGTAAGAGATGTAGGTAGTTTCATCAAAGATGTTTATTTAGAGAGAAAAATCAATTATTCAGGAAAGTTAGTACATGGATCTGCTGTCAGGAAGGTCTGTGAATAAAGGTGTAAAAATAGTATCCCATATGACTGATAGCATCAGCCCTTCAATATGCTCAGATTGGAGAGGATGGATCACTGATCACTGATAATGTTACATGAGCAGAGGGGGCTATAAAGTCTGTGTATACCAAGACTGTGGGGAAAAACAAACTTCACTCTTAAAGATGTCCATTGTAATTCAGTCAATTATCAGAGCAGTCTGGAAGCAGCAAACCAATTTTCTGAGCCACCAAAAAGGAATATCAATTCCCGTGAACAAGGATGATGAGGGGTATAGTGCTGGTCCAGATCCAGGACCTTCCTCAGTGTGAAAGGTATTATCAGTGAGGCAGAGGTGGACCAACAAGCACAATTTATAGGCTCAGGAATTGGAAGAGAGGGGATTATTGGAAAAAAGCAAAATGCTTTCACACAAAATCTATGGTCTGAGAGATCTGGCTTTTTAGGAAACCAAAGTAGTCAATCCAGTTAATTGGACAGCACAGTTTAGAAGATGGGGGGTGGTGGGGGCAGAGCATCATAGCCGTGTGAATAAATAAATGCTAGATAACACAGGGTCTTTTATGCTACACCAGACTGGATTCCACATGATACATATTGGAAAAGTCTACACAGTATTTTGAGAATGTGCATGCATTATTAGAGTAGCCCATGATGGAGAAATGGCCCAGAGGACTTAATAATAAAAATAATGTTTAGGTATCATCTCTGCATCAAATTAATTATTTGAAAACATGTTCTCAGAAGAGTTTTTAATATTACTGAGATAGAGGGAACAAGGTACTGAGGAATATTTCATTCCACTGACACTCGTTTGGGGGTTTGTTACAGATAACTGCCATAACAAGCTGCTTGAAATAATTGACTACTCCCTAGCCTAAGGCATCTTATTTTTTGTTAAGGAGCCCTTTCAAGTGAACTTTTTTTTTTATTGCAGACATAAATTAATGACAAATACATTTTTACCGCTGTCCACCCCAAACGACTTCCTTTCACTTGAAAGCTTTAGAATCCTCCGAAAACTACAGTATGCGGGCTTAATTATCTCAATTAAGTAGTCTACAGTATCCTTAGTTATATCTCTGGATTGCCAGATTTGATCTTCCCCACTGACGTGTGCTTTGTGAAGATCTCAGATACTTCATCTAAAAAAGAAAGAAGAGAAAGAAAGAAAGAAGAAAGAAAGAAAAAGAAGAAAGAAAGAAAGAAAGAGAAAGAAGAAAGAAAGAAAGAAAAAGAAGAAAGAAAGAAAAAGAAGAAAGAAAGAAAGAAAGAAAAAGAAGAAAGAAAGAAAGAGAAAGAAGAAAGAAAGAAAGAAAGAAGAAAGAAAGAAAGAAAGAGAAAGAAAGAAAGAAAGAAAGAAAGAAAGAAAGAAAGAAAGAAAGAAAGAAAGAAAGAAAGAGGAAGGAAGGAAGGAAGAGAAAGGAAGGAAGGTAGGAAAGGAAAGAAAGAAGAGAAAGAATTCCTACTGGGAAGCAGGTCCGCAGGTGTAGACGGAACTCTCAGGAAGTAGGGCGACCCCGCTCTCCGCATCTGGCTCCGGGGCTCCGGCGGCGCAGGAACTTTACGCGCAGCCCAGCCTCCAGCTCCGGTGAACACGCGTCCTTTCTGCGCGGCGGTTTTGCCGACGGTCGGTTCGAGCTCGGGTTTTGTGCGGCAAGTTTCGGAGTCAATGCTTTCTTCCCCCGAGGCCGCCGGGAGGCCGGGGAGGGGAGGCCGCTCGCCCGCGCTCGTACCGACCGGCGCCTTAAGGCTCCTGACCCCGAAGTTTCCGGACTCCGCGCGCAGCACGGGGCCCGAGTCCCGCGCGTCCGGGTCGCATGGCCCTCAATCGGCTCAGGAACAGCCTGCGATCGCTTCTCTCCCTGGAACAAGTCCCTCCGGAGGCGCAGCTCGCCGCAGCTCGCGGGTCCCGGGCCCGCAGACCCTGGACTCCGGCGCGCCGGAGTCTCCCCGCCGTGACCGCACCCGCCGTCCGGCCCTCTCCGTCCAGGACCCGGGCCCACCTGACCGACGGCCGCTGAGGGAGCCGGGGCGGCTGGAGCGCACGGCCGCGCAGAGGAGAGGCAGCAAAGAAAACGCCCGAGCTAGGAAGCCTGGCGTATCGCCAAAGATGCCCGGGCGCACCCCAGACTCAGACGGTCGCAGGGCCGTCGTCTGCTGAGCAGACAACCCACGGAAGCCACCTCTTCCCACAACAGCACGTTCCAAACGAACGAGAAGGGCCTCCCTTCCGCGAGGGAGAACCCCGGACCGGAGCCGGAGGAGAAGGAGGGCGACCTCGCCACGTGTTCGGGAAGTCTTCCGACGCCGCTTGCCGGGAGGTCCCCAAATTCCATTTTCGCGAAGCCCACGGTCGCGAGCGGGTCGGTGCATTGGCCGGATGAAATGAGATGTGGTTTTTGATCCTTGATCAAACTCGTCCTTATCTTGCAGAGACAAAGGGCAGTGGTCGCCGGGAGGATCAGAAACTCCCCGCGTCGGGTATTGTGTGTTCCCTGCGTTGTCTTGTTTCTGTGTTTCTTGAACTTTCGCAGTGACCGGAGCAGAGTAAGTTTCCAGAAATGTACTGTAGTGATAACCAAATAAATAATCAACGACCTTAGGGCTCCAGCCAGGTCCTGCGCCCCACGGGCTCTGTGGCGCAATGGATAGCGCATTGGACTTCTAGTGCCGGCGGAAAGAGATTCAAAGGTTGCGGGTTCGAGTCCCGCCAGAGTCGTAAGTGTTTTGTCAAGGAATGGATCCCCTTCCACTAACTTCTCTGTTCCTCTAAGATGTGGACGTTTTGGCCACAGTCAGCTTCCTCCCTTCGGTTTATTTCAACTTCTTCATAAACAATTCCACCAGTGTCTACAGGGGTTCAAAGACCAAACAGAGGGAAAGGGAGTGGACGCGCGCGGAGCGAAGGGTAAGTATTGAAATAAATACTAGTAATTATTTCTTCGTCATGAAAATTAATTTCCAACTTGCTGTTTCCCCGACCTTGGGTGGAGGCTCGCAGGCAGGCCTTCCACACCGTGTCTGCAAGAATCCTGCGGCGGCCCCTGGGAACCCCCTGGGTCTTCCAGCCGGTGATGCTCAGCCCAAGTCCGCGCGTCCCCTCCCGGCTCCGCCCCCAAAGCGCTCCTGGGTAGTGCAGAGGTTTCAGCTCCGGAAACTTAACTAAAATTTAATTTGCTTGTAAATGAAAGGTAGGTGAGATCTGTAAAAATTATTTCCCTCCCGCCTTTAATTGTAGAAATGGAGATAGAGCCAAAAAATAAGTCTTCTTTACATCCTAGAACACTACTTCCTTAATTCGGCCCACTGGTGCCTAGTTCCAAGTATCCTTTCAGAAATTCTGTCTTTTTATGCATTTGCCACAAGGGAAAGAAACAGAAGGACTACAGACCCACGGTATTTCGAGCAGTGCCTGCCTCTGGCATCGTTCTATGTGCTATAAAGGGAGAATTGGTTGACCCCTACCTTTGCATGTTGAGCATGGGCTCATAAATCTTCCAATAAAGCCTTTTTCTTGAACCATATCATGTGGTATGGTGGGTTTTCTCCTCCTCAACTTGTACAACAATTTGGCAATAATGCACTCTTTCCCTGTGACCAGCTAGTGTAATGACCAACCTTCTTTAAAATATCACCCACTACACACTCCTCATACCACATACATCACATGTCTAGCAAGTCAGGCAACGGAATGAGGGGTGGTTTCACAGCCTCTGACCCCTATTTATTCCTGCATAGATTTCTCAGTAAATTAGAATGTCTTACTATGGCTGCAACACCACTTTTGTCTAATATTAAATTTACACACTTCTGGATGATTTCTGTTTTCTCTATGCCAGTGCATGTTTTGTTTATCTAATGGTTATTTCATATATTTTTTTCTGGTTTTCTAATTTTTGTATAGCAAGAGGACAACTCCCCTAGCTGTTAATCCTTCATGGGTGGAAGTAGAATTTTCATTAAAAAAATAATGTACCACAGAGAACACCAATTATTTTCAACATTTCATAGTACTTTCGTTAGATTTTTAGATTATCTGATCTATATGTGGGTCTGTTTAAGGACCTTCTTAATCAAATGATTGATTTCTTTTTATCTACATATTCTATTCCCTATATCATTTTTCTTCATAGGGAATCATTCTAATGTATTAAGTGTTTACATTTTTATTACATTAAAACATGACATGTTTTCTGGGGCGCCTGAGTGGCTCAGATGGTTAAGCGTCTGCCTTTGGCTCGGGTCCTGATCCTGGGGTCCTGGGATCGAGCCCCACATTGGGCTCCTGGCTCAGCGGGGAGCCTGCTTCTCCCTCTCCCTCTGTCTCACCCCCTGCTCATGCTCTCTCTCTCTGTGTCTCAAATGAATAAAAAAAATCTTAAAAACAAAAAACATGACATGTTTTCTTACAGAATACCTAATATTTTGTGCATATCCTTTTTATATTACAAAAATTATACTTTGTATACATAGCATTCTACTTCTGACTTTCTTCCATAACCATCATTATCTTATTTATATGTCATTTAAATGCTGAGCAATACCTCATAGGGTGCATCTACCATAATTTACCTTTTTTTAATGCTTCCAAGAAGGTGTCCTCTTAATTCCTGACACTACACTTAACTCCACCCAAACATCCACATACACTTCCCTTCAGGGACTTGGACATAGCCCAAGTGACACAGAAGTTAGAGAACATGTTCTACATATATCTTGATTGGGGTGATTGGTGCCAGATTGCCATCCAGGACAGATGCAACATTTTCAACAAAACTAAGTAGCCACAAAAACCTATCTGTGGCATTAATAAGCTTAGCAATCTAAGAGTTGTAAAGTGATGCCACATTGAGTTCGAATCTCTCATATAATCGATGGCTCTGAGCACTTCCTGGTTTCAAGGTTGTTAATTCTTTCCTGCAAACTGTTAGCCTTGATTGCCTGCTCCCTAACTGCATCTGCTGCTTTTAATTGAAGGTTTACAGGCCAGTCTCATGTATTGATACCTTATCAGTCTCAGATAATTGTTTTGTGATTTCATAATATCATTTTTTATTTTCAGACCTGATAGGAACACCAGAGGCTGCTTTGCTAATGTTAAACTATTAACATCAAGATTAGACATCTTCAAAGATCAGCACAGGTACAGGACATGTGACAGAAACTAGACCCAAAGCCACTGCCTAGATGCCCAGCTGGAAACTTGCCTTTCTGTCTTCATGTCTCTCTGTGTGTATCCTCACCACCTTTATTTCCTTTTATATGCAAGAACATTGGCCCTTTATACTTATAAATTACTACCGAAGGTCCATCCGGAAGGTCCCCAGCTCAGCGGCGCGCAGTTGCTGGGTGCTCTCTTCCCCTATGGTGGCCTCTGATGGGTAAGCTCTCCACTTGCCAAATGCGGAGAGTCCTTCTAGGGCACACGTGTGAAAGAGTGGGGGAAATAATGCAGGGGGTGGGGAAAATTGCCTTTTCAGTCCAATTTCCCTGACCTCACTAGAGTGGAATCCTATTTTGACCAGTTTAGGTTAATATGTGTAGATGAACTCCATTCACAAACCACTACGGAGCAAATATGGCCACTTTTTTGGTTTTGCCAAGCAGTTAGATTCACAAATGAAGGCATGGGGTTTCTCTGTAGGCCACGGGCCTTGACTCTTTAGATGATAGCAGGAGAAGAAAGAGAATCAGAAAGCCAGATCTCAGGGAGAATTGGGGCTTGGATTGTCTTTGGGAACCTGTGGGGGGAGAAGCTGACCCTGTCAGTCTCCAAGTTGGCAGTGTCACTCTCAGGCCTATAGCGTGTACGCAGAGCTGCTACTGGACCCCAGGACTTCTGACTCAGAGCTCTGAAGCAGCTGCAGATGGATCAGTGGCTAGACAGAGAGTGGTGCTAATAAAAATGCGGTCACAAGGCAGCCATGAAAATGTGCCTGCACATCCTGGGGTCTAAAGATAAGCAGTCACAGAGAGGACATCCACAAGAAATCTGGCCGGTCACACTGGGGAAAAAATTGCTTGGCTTAGTTTTTGGGAGTTGGTCCTATTAATGCCACGGTTCTGGGCCATAACTTTATCTTACACCACTCTCATGCACTCCTTTGGGAACTAAAATTACGAGGAAAAGTGATTGACGGGAGAAAGTTCTGGTGATACTTTCCTGCAGGAAAGGGTGAGGTAACTGGATTTGAGTCCACTGTGGAAGAGATGGCCCCAGCTTACGCGCTAGGATAGCAAAACATAGTCCACACTTCCACGGCAGAAAATAGGAAAAAGAATAGGATTCTCTTGGAGAGGAGCAGGACCCTGCAGAATTTAGCGGGAAACCACAAAGGGGTAAAGGATGGCTTCCCAAGAAGTTCACTCAGCATCCCCTCAGTTTGGACAGGGCACAGGTGCCCTGGTCCTTGGTCTAGTGTCCCTATAACGCCTCAGCACTTGGGGAGAAATCGTTGTTGTTTTTTCTCCTTAACACACGTGAGGTGTTAATACCTTGTATTTGCAGAATCCCACTTAAAACCTTACCTACTCTCATCCTTAGGGCATCCTGTCTCTCAGAAGTTCTACTTCAGAGCAGTGCAAATTCATTTAAAATGAAATAAGCTAAAATTATGCATTTGGAAGCCAAGAGGTGAATATGGCTGGTTTGGCACTCGGCACGAGGGAAGGACATCAAAACTGACTCTGGTCTTGGATGTACACAAAGACTTTGATGAAGAAAGTCTCCTAAGTTTGGACTCTGATAACTAAAAGATCAATAATAATAAAGAGGACCAGCAGAATATTAGACCTACACAGATTTGAAGAAGACACCACAAATGTCTGAACAAGTTTTAGTGACCCCTCTCTCTTGGCAAGAAAGGAGCTTCTCTGGAAGGATAGAGAAAGTCTGTGAGAATAAGAAATAAAGCTGGAGAAAATGTTTTTGCCTAAAAAAGGATTTAAGAAAAAAGTTTTGAAATGGCTTTGCCCAATTCTATCTGCAATAGTGGACTGTTACTGACTTAAAAAAAAATCCACAAAGGTAACCATAAAGTGGTTATTTTGGGCTCTATTTGCTGACCCATCATCCATAGACTAAGTGGGCAAAACACTCCACAAAATAAATCCTTCAGTTTCCAATATAAAGTGAAATAACCCACTTTTTAAAACCAAATAAACAGAAAAAAACAAACATAAAAAACAATATTATAGTATAATCATCAAACTTGCTAAGAGACCAGAATTTAATTTTTCCAACTACTAAAAAGAAATGAAAATTATGTAACTGATAAAAGTACTAATTTGTCACTACAATAGCAATCATATTATACTACGTAAATGTATCAAATCTTTAAAACCTTTTTTAAAAAGATTTTTTTTTTATTCATTTTGAGAGAGACAGCAAGAGCAGTGGAGGGGGCAGGGGGGAGGGGCAGAGGTAGAGAGAGAGAGGCAGGTTCCCCGCTGAGCAGGAAACCTCCCCCCCCCTCCCCCCAGTGCAGGGCTCAATCCCAGGACCCTGAGATCATGACCTGAGCTGAAGCGTCTGAAGACAGACGCTTAACCAACTGAGCCAGCCAGGCGCCCCTAAAAACTTTTGAGGAGCATCTACTATACGCTAGCCTCTAATTTACATTTTAAATGTATAGTAACTGAAATTCACTATAGTGAAAGAAATAGAGTAACTGCTTACGATCTTGACTTGACTTTCAATTATATCATTTTTGTGTTTGG